TTGGCTTCCTTTCACTGACATGTTTAAGGCATAAATGTTTAAAGCTGAGCAATACTTATGCACCTATTTGAAACAGGGTGGGATAAATTGGGTATACATCATTGGACTTGCTCTGGAATTTATTGCAAACTTGCTAGAGGTACGAAAGATTTAATCTAGCACTCTGAGTTGCGCCAAATTGGTACCATTTTAGGTGAGATCAAAATCTGACTCTTAAGTGGATAATGGTATCATTTATTTTTGGTTTTCGTGGTATCCCAATTTGACTCACTATGACAACAACAGTGGGACTTAAAGTAGTGAAGATTAATCATTCTCTCAGCCAAGGTACTTCTTCAGTGGGTGATCTCACTTAGGAGCAATTAAACTATTCAAACGGAGCCTGAGTCAAATGCAGAATTGAGGTGCCCCATCACTGCTACTACAACATACTGGATCTTATTCAATGCAGATTTAATCACCAGCTGAAGTTTCTCACCTCCTTCCTGTAGGAGCAGGGCAGGTATATTTGAGCAAATCTATGTGTAGGAGCAGGGCAGGTATATTTGAGCAAATCTCTGTTCTTCTCCAAGTCTCTCTCATTTCATTTTCGTTTATTGTTGCTAAAAGAAATACAGTTTACAAGAATGTAGAAATACAGACTTTTAGCTAACTTCAATAACCAACATGGTTCCTTAAAGTAGTGAATTTATTTCTTCTTACATGTTGTTTTGATGCAAAATGTGAGCAGAGCATAACATCTTGCTGGGAAGGAGTTACATAATCATCTGGGTTGGAAAACGCCTTCAAGATCATAAGTCCATAACCATAAATGGGATCTACTGAGTCCTATCACTAAATCATATCCCATAGTCCCATGTCTGTTTCCTTGCGTGATCATGTTCACCTTCTCCATCAACAAAATCTTCCTAATATCCTGTATAAATCCCTCCTGGTGTAACTTTGAACCATAAGTCCTATCACTTGTCACCTGAGAAAAGAGACTGATTCCAAGGAGTTTTTAATTAAAGCCAAATAAAGTTATGAGATGCTCCTTATTTTTCACATTTACTTATTAAGAAAGGTACCTACAGGAAGAGGTTGCATTTTCAAAGAGCTGCATTGAACAGTCTGCCCTTTAAAAATAATGCCCATCTCATTTTTTTATTTCAAAATCAAATTAGCCTTTTAAGCTATTAAAAGAATTGACCTTAACTGCACTAATGCAATCATCTCACCATATTCCCATCATACAAATTAGCCTAGAGGAAGAGCAATTATCATCCCAGAACTTTGCTTAATTATTGCCTGATTGCTTCTTCAACCTTCTTTCTTTAAATTCATCCTTCCTTCTTTCTTCTTATGTTTTCCTACCTTGTCCCATAGAAACTACCATCATCCCCTGCAAGTGGACTCTCCAGTAACTTTTCCATTACCTCACCTGGGTAGTATTTACTTTGCCAGTCTAGTGTGCCATGGATCTTAGAATTCCCCTAGGTAAGAGCCTGATCATCAGCAAAATGGAGTATGGAGAGTCTTCTGGAAGTATTCCTCTTATAAGTGTGGGCTGTGGGCTTCCAGTGCTGTGCTCAGGTGAAACCTATCTGAATTGCCACTCTTTTTGCAGTTACACCAATTACTCATAAAGAGACACAGCTATTCTTCCTCCAGCTAGCACAGTTAGCCTGCTGTAATTGTGCTAGGCTTTAATTTTCTTGGTGACCTGAGTCTGCTGCTTATTTTCTTGGCACAACAGAGGAAACAGAGTAACTTATTTATTCCCATGGGCAGTTCAGGGACTGCCTGGAGTAACAACAGAAAAGCAGAAACTACCCCAGTCCACTCACCAAGAGCAAGTGGGTCAGTAAAGTGTGGGATGGGAATCTGCTGTGGGGGGAGCTGAACTACTGTATTGTCCTCCAGTCCTGTAAGAAAATATCTGTGAGTTATAAAGTTTCCTAAGTGATTCTGGCGGCCTGCTTGGAGTTGTGTCTTGGACTTGTAACTGGTATATTTTCTTTAAATAGCATTATCTAATGGACTGCAGCCTGGATTGGGAAATGCTCTCCTGCATGGCAGTTGTGTCCTGCAGTCATGCAGGATCTGGCTTTGCTCTGCTAGGAGCTGCAAAGCAGGAAGGAGGGCCTGACCTCTGCCATGAGCAGCTTTCAGAGTAGTTGAAGTGCAGCAGGAAATGCATACTGGGAAGAAAGTTGATATATGCTGGAGTTGGAAAATTCAAGAAACACCTCTGATGATGGACCTGTCTGGAGCACAGTACTTTAACTCCAGCAAATTCACAATTTTCTAGATGTTTTAGGAATGAAATAGCTTAGCAATAAAGGACAGTTGTGAAATTTGTGGATGTAATTTGGAAAACGCTCAACTGAATTTTTAACTGCTTCTTCAAGCTGTTTTTAAGGAGTAACTAAATTATTTGAACTGAACCCCTGTAACTTCAATGGCTAACTGTATCTCAAGACATTAATTTTTGGCAGTTGAGTAAGTCATATAGTCCTTGCTTTCAATTAAATTGTTAATGTTCACCTTGAATTATTGCTACTTCTAAAAACATTTCCTTTCTTTGGGGCTAGGAAGAATGCCTCCAAATCCACTGACGAGTAGATGTTTACTGTTTCTGATGATTTCAGGTTTAATTATGACCTTTCAGAGTTGTTTATACATTTTGCTGTAGACTAATTGGTTAACATTTCTCATTGTTTTTACTGGGAAGTAAGGGCTGCTGTACCTGTCTTATTCTTGTACCTGATTTATGTTCCTGCTGTTGCTTTGCCTGTTACTCTGTATCTCAGCTCTTAATTTAATGCAAACTTTCTGTGCCGCATGTGATGGAAGCATAGATGTAATATTTCCCCATGTTTGCAAATTATTGTGAGCTTAATAGATAGATGGCAAATGCTTTAATGCTGAAGACTGGTTTGTTAGGGCTATCATGCACTGAAGACTACTGTGATCAAATATGCTATTGTGGGTTTCAGAGCCATGGAAAATGCTGCTGAGTTATTCTTTATGAAATCATGGTTTTCTTTCTTGTGGGAATTGTGGCAGAGGTAGAGTTTATGGAGCAGTTAGAATTTGAATTTTTTTAAGAGCAGGTAGAGGCTGGGAAATCTGAAACAGAGCACTTAGAGGAAGGAGGTGATCAAACAATTTGTTACAGGCAGTGTCATTAGTAGACAATTCATAGACTTTTATCTTGTCTCCCCACCTAGCACTGATTTATGAAGTGGATGTATGATTTTATCACCTCAAAGGGATATCTTGTATCTAATCTCATAAGCTAAATTATTTGCAAGCCTAATCAATACTTGCACAGAACCTTCAGAGGGCAGCCTTCATGTTACAGAAGGATTTGGTGCATCACCAGATGGTGCCCTTCTGTAGCGGGCAGCAAGGGATAGCTGCCCAAATGCAACATGAGACATCGTGTTCCTGGATGAGAGCTGGAACAGAGATGTATTCTCTGTGGATTAATGTTCTAGCACTTCTGATTGTTTGTTTTTGTTGAGATAGAGCACCCATATTTGGAGCAGAACTCTGGTCTAGATTCATTGCTTTTGTTTTCATCTTTGTTTGAAGTGAGCATCACATGTTGTATTTCTTGTTTTGAATTGCAGTATGTACTGGAACATCTCTCTGTAAAATAAAAGCAGCAATCTATGTCAACAGTCATCTCACAGTGACTAAAATAACACAGTGTAACATTGGTAGGGATGAACATTTAACTGTTGTGTGATTAGTATTTAAATACTATGAACACTAAGAAGTTTTTAGAATACTTTGCTGTAGAATTACAGTGAGTGGCTATCAAATATTAATGGATGGAAAGCATACGTTCTGCAAACTAGCTTCATATCAAGCATCATTTAAATTAAAGCCATTTGCAATTTTCAAAGTCATATTTAGAAAATGAGCCCTCATTAGAAGATTTTTTTTCAAAATTGAGTTTTGATCTGGTTCCTTTTCTAATTGATAAATTAAGAGGAAAGAAGATATTAATGGAATTATTTGCAGATGTTTAACGACACAAATGCTAGAAGGCTAACCTCCAATAATTACTGTTATTACAAGTTACATACACATTTCTGGTCAAGAACATATTGCAGAAAAGCTCTTTCAGCTCTTTCTGGTACAGTTATTCTCTGTATATTGGGGAGGAGAGAGAAAAAGGGTGGAGATCACATTCTGTAATCCCCCAAGGGAATTTACAGCACCAATCTCAATTTTTGAGGTGCTGCAGCTTTTAGCAGACCCTGAGCAGATTTAATCTGAATGTTGATGGCTGTAATGGCAGAATTGTGCCAATGTTATTGTGAGAAGGAGCTCCAAATGGATGGCGCTTATATGGTTAATCTATTTCTAAAGGAAAATCTTCTTTAATTCTCCATATATATATCAGATTTGCCACTTATATAGAAATATAGGGTTCAGTTACATTTGGAGCTGAAAACCTGGTAAAATTTGAAAGGTGCATTCTATGTTTTATGGCCTGCAGTGAAGGATTCTTAACCTTTTCTTTCTGGTTACTCTGATATTTTCTCCCCAAATCAAAATCAATTTCAATTGATCCCTCCATCATGCTTTTGGACTCATTCGAGGTGCCTCCTGATGGAATCTGCTATTTGTGTGAAATCAGCTGCCACTGTTTTCAGGTTATACAGCGGGCTTATAAGAGGAGGATGCTCATGTAGAAGATTCCAGATTTCTGACTCCCCCAGAATTCATTTATGGGAATGTAAATATTTAATGCCTGTCAGGCTCCAATATCTAAACTACACTTCAAAACAAATTGAATAGCAAGAATCCAATAATCCTAATTTACCAGCAACATCTATGAAAATTTATCTTCTATTTGGTCATAAGGGACACTGACAGATCTCCGTGTGCTTAACCCCAGCAAACACAAGGCAATGTCTCTGCAGCTGCCTCGTCCTCACCCCAAGGGTTGCTCTGTGCTGCTGAGACAGGACAGGTAATTGGATGTTCTTCTCTTTTGGCAGGTACTGGACTGGATTGAAAATCATGGAGAAGCCTTTCTGAGTAAACACACGGGAGTGGGGAAGTCTCTGCACAGAGCACGCGCGCTGCAGAAAAGACACGATGACTTTGAAGAGGTAGCACAGGTAAGAGTCTGAAATACATTGGGGGGAAAAAAAAAAACAAAACAAAACAACTACTGGTATTTTGGGAGCTTTGTAAATTCATGCCACTGTCTTCAAACATCTGGAGCTGACCAGGATCCAGTGTCACAGCTCTGAAGGTTTGCATGCACACTGTGAGAGCATGGTTGGTAGCAGCAGGAGTTAGCACTGGAAAATCACTGCAGTGGGTCTATGCAAGTACAGTATGTCGTGTAGGAGGTTTTTTTATTTGCTTCAGAATTAGAAAGGCAATCTTTACAGGTAGTTATTATTAGTAGTACAGAATTATTATGTTACAGTTATTATTATATTTTGGCATGGAGGCAAAATTCCTTCCCAAAAGCCCATAACTCCTTCTTGAAACATGCTCATATCTGATGTTTAAACATACATCCAGTCTTACAGAATGAAATGAAAGGGGGACCTTGATAAGTTCTTCCGGGGACTGATTAGCTGCTTCTTTTTTTGTTTTTTCCTTTTTCATTCTTCCTTTTTTTTTTTTTTTTTTTTTTTTTTTTTTTTTTTTTTTTTTTTTTTTTGCTTGGCTTATGACCAGCCGTTATCCATTCTCAGCTCTCCCTGTCAGATCATGTTACACTTTTTGTCTTAGGCTGAAGCAATATCTATGAGAAATTGGTCTCCAGTGAAGGTACCTCTGTATTGGGTATTTCAGATAAATTCTGATTGATAAGCTCTGCTTTACATAGGGTAAGTGCTTTGCCTTCTTGGTGCACTCAGGCAGATTTTTGCTTACATAGTTCACTATGGCATAAGACAAAAATTTATTAGATTTCAGTTTTGTTTTTCCACGATAACTTTCCCTTGTGTTGGCCTAGTTTTGTTTTAGATGTTCCAGCAGCAGGGACATAGCTCTTTTACTGCACTCCAAGGGAAGCTATTTCACTGTCTGACAGCAGCTACTGGCAAGATTATTATTATTTTTCCTCTCCCTATATTCAATTTATATATACATACATATATATAAAACCATGGTGTATATCCCCTATGTCCTGTTTATTTCCCTTAAGGAGGTAAATGCCAAGGAAGGAGATGAAATAACAGCCCTGAAATATCTGTTGAATGTTAGCATACCTCCCCTAAGTGCCCCTTAGCCAAGTTAAGCATATTTAAATTTGCTAATATGTTCTTATTAAACACTCCTTTGTTAACCATTTCTTTGAATCCATTCAGTTTGCCAACATCCTTCTTTTAATTAGATACTCAATTATCAATGGAATACTCATATTCCTTGGCTTGCACACCTTTCAGCTGCACTGAGACATCACTGCATACCATTGACAAATCATACAGTCTGAAAGCAGCAGTTCTAGATTGACAGATCTCTAAAATGTTCTGGGGCCTCCCGTGGCTTTCAGCCTCCTGACATTGGGTTTGAATTTCTGGAGTTGCTTTTTTAAAATTTATTAAAATGTGCATTCATCTGGAGGTTGCAAACCACATTCTTAAAGGGGTCATCCAAAAATGTGAGTTAGTGGGAAGTTTCAGCCTGAAATCAATGTTAGTTGCCTTTCCAGAGGATGTGAGTTAGATCGCCATTATTAGATCCAATGCTAAGGGTAACCGAATAAAAAAGGTCTAATAATATGCAGGAACTGAAACTAGGTGATCTAGTGTCCTTTGTCGTATTAATGTTCCCTGAACCTCCCTCCTCTATGATGTATTAGCATCGCAGCTCCAGCTCTGTCTCACATTACTGGATTAGTTTGCTCTTTTTTTTTTCCTTTTTTTCCTCCTCACTGGACATGTAGGAAACAAATGAAGAACAGGTGAGGAAAGACAGAAGAATAAGTGGTCTTGATGATGAGAGCACATCAGAAAGAGCTGAATAAAGGCTTGCTCCACTGGTTGATGTTATTTAGAGATCCGTCTGTGTGTAGGTACTAGGGTAAGCCAGAAAGGAATTGCTCCACCTGGAAGTTTTCTGATTCCCTCCTGTTAATCCTGCACCTAAAATATTTCAGACAGTTTGCCTGTTAATAACTTTAGATATATTTCCATTCACTTCATATAGCCAAATTCTGAGTGGAGTAAAGGATGCAGTTTACTGGATGTAAGTCCATGGATTCCAATGGAGGAGGGTGTTTCAGAGGAGGATGGAGAGAGAGAAAAATTGCATGAGTGTAGAATCCCTTTTAGGTTCCTCTGAATTTGATTTCTTCACTTCTGTGATCATTTCACTTTTACTCTTACAAAGCATCTTGTTGGTCTGCTTGGACAACCGTAAGCAGTTCTGTGCTCTCAATATGAAATTTATGATACTTGCTAACTAAAAATAACTGACAGAAGTCAAGCTTAGCTATCTTTCCCCAGCTTTGATTGAAATAATTCCTGGGTCCTCCCTCCCATGCATTCTCACCACCGGATTACCGTTGCTAATTTATGAAGCCTGTCTGCAGTGTGACACTGGAATGTGATGCTGGCAAATGGACGTGGGGACATGAGCAGGGGGGAAGTGAAAGGAATGTCAGGCTTTATCCCAGGTCAAGGACTTGAGAATATAATACTCTTTGCTTTCAAAAGAATAATAGCAAGGGTAAGAGGGAAGGTCATAAATTTATCACACCTGGGGTCCTACAGCAGAAGCTGCTAGGGAGGTCGATTTTGTGGTTGGGGAATATATCTCCTCCCAGCTCTGACTGTGACCAGTTTTTACTCTTCCCAATTCCCTTCCTTCTAATGCTTAACTCTTTAGAGCTGCTCTGTTATTACTTCATTTTAACTTCAGTATAATTTTACTTTTTTTTTTTCCCTTCAGATAGCAAATACCTTTGCCCTAGCTAGGGTAGACAGCTGGCATCATTTATTCCTGAAAGAGCCAAGTAACAAAGCACAGGTGCTAAGATCCTCAAACAAAAGACTGAAGATTCTGTGCATTCCCCTCATTTGGATGTTAATTACTGTCTGCTAGTGATAATGAAAACAGGTGGTTTTCATACCTGGTGAGACTGACAGTACAAGTGTTCTTGCTTCTGGCAGTTCTCTGACACACACAAAAAAAAAAAGACAACCATACAGTACAAATTTACCCTCCAACCTCTACCTTCTTTTGGCTCCAATATATTTGCTCTTATCTCCTGCTGTTTGAGGAAGGCATTTGCAAAGGTCACACTAGAAGCAATTTTCATGAGTTTTCGTGATATTTGCAACTGCGGGCAAAAAGTTCGTGTTTTTGAATGCTACATGCAAAGGGGAGAAGTGTATCTGGGATTGCCGTGCTGAGAAATGTGCTGATTGACTGACCTTCCAAGGCATGAGATGGAGAGGTGGAACCTATTCCCTCTCTGTCTGATTAGAAACTTCACAGATTTATAAATCTGGATGTAATGATCCAATCAGGCATGGCCCAAATAGATCACCTTCCTGCACAGAGAAGCTATGCTTGGAAAATGTCAGTGATTTTAGAGCAGTTCACTGTGGGCAATAGAAAATATAATGTGGGGTCCCCTTCTGTCAGAACTGCTGCTTAGACAACACTCTGGCAATTTCTTTACTCTGTTTGTTCTACATGGCAGGCACAGATGGGGAAGATTTGTATTTGGATTAGAAAGCTGGAGCTGCTGGGAGGGAGGTTTGTATCTTGTATGTATATGCATATCTATACATATATATATACACCTGTGAGTGCTTCTTTGCCAGTGCTGATGCTGTTCTTGGGCTGTACCCTGACCATACCAGGTGTGTGAGCACTGCACCTCCTGCACTGGGAAACTGATTGCTGATGAGGAGGATATCAAAATAGCAACCAAAGAAACACTGCCCTTCCTACAATTACAGCTTGTCTAGGATTGCTTTGTGCAAATCAGATGGATGTAGTTTGTCCAATTATGGTTGTAAATCCAAACATAATTTCATTTTAGCCTCTCTAGCTTTCCCTTATTCATTGCTTTCACCCAGTGTGCTTTCCAGTGGAAAAATCATGTTAACAGAGTGCACCCCCAAATCCCTCAACACTTCAGCGCTATTGAGTTGAGCTCTGTGTGTTGGAAACCCTTCTCCCCTTCTCTGTATGTAAAAGAGGGGCCACAGACCGTTCTCCCTCCTGGCATTCTCAGCAGAGGTTACTGTGGTCTCATCTCTGCTCACTGAGGGCATCGCTGCATTTTTGCAGGCAGAGAATGTGGAAAACCAATGGGGAAACAGCTCCAGTTACCCCTATGCTCTGCTTTCAGTCTGAGCACTTTGGGATTTGAATGCTTCTCAACAAAGGGTTCTGTAGTCCTTCTGCATTTATCAGCTTTTCAATAGAGCAGTTCATCGTGCATTCTGCAGGAGGAGGCCCACCACTACGTGCTGCAGCCTGCAGATGGCACTCACTGTGCGTCATAAAAGCCCTCAGCTCTGCTAATGGGGTTTTGTGTTCAGTACCTGTGTGCATGTTGCATGCAGTGGTTGATTTATTTTTTCACAGTAAAACAAAGGCACTGATGTTTACAAGGTAAATTCTGCAACTGTGTGTGTAACAAAGCACTTGTTCTGAATAGCCTCAGTTTGAAATGGATGGAGCTGTCCTCATTATGAAACACTGTGAGAAAGTAGACTGAAGGCTGGGCTGAGCATCAAAGTGCATGGAGCTTATCTGTGTGACCAGAGGCAACTCTTGGCTCTGGCCTCACTGCTGAAACAGCTTCAGTTTAGGTACATACCTGTTCTTGGGTAGCTGTGCCTGCCTTCGTCTGAGAGAATCTTTGGATGATAATTAAACACCTGGAAACAGGTTTTGAACCATCAAAGATGATCTCATGTAAATATGTGTAGTTCCTTTAAGAATCAGCTCTTCTATTCTTGGGGAGATAAATGTATTTCCTATAAGGGAAGGATTTCAGAGGATACACTGAAAGCCAGAGGTCCATATCCTCTACTGGAAATCAAAACTATAGAAGCATAGAATGGCTTGGGTTGGAAAGGACCTTAAAGATCATCAAGCTCCAGCCGCCGTGCTTTGGGCAGGATTGCCACCCACC